TCTGTGTATACTCCCCCTCCCCCCTCCATGCTCCATAATTTGCACAAATGAGCAAATTCATGTGTCTGGGTGGCTTTCTAGTTACAGTTTGGGGATGTGCAAAATTATATCAATGATGTTAAAGCTGGCAGAATTCTCTTTCATAGCTAGGAACAGACGTTGCAGGCATTTCAGTCTGCTTGCAGGGGTGAACACCTCCTCTTTTAGAAGGGTAAGATGCTATTCGAAGAGAAATAGATCTGATTATTACATACCAGCCCATTTCATCAACGTATCCATGTTTATATGTTGTGTTTGGGGGTGTTTCCATAGAGGTCACTTGAAAATTTGGAAATGATTCTTTCAGCTTCTCACTAGATTGTAATCTCAGAACAAAAGTGCAGGTTTCCATGTCCTGCCTGTTATTGAGTTGGCTGCTTTTGTCACTGAAGGATCTCACAATTCAGCAATAAATAAATAAACATGAGCTGAAAATCCTATTGTATAATTCAAGGACTGCTATTTCGGAACTTGTATGGAAGACTAACACTTTTGAAATGCAAGAGATCTACACAGGCTGTGCTGCCTAAACAGAAAGGGCCTTCGGTTAATTATAATCTGAAGTCAAGGTAAAGAATCCCAACTAAACAAAAGCACAGTACACTCAAAACACTGTCTTTTCCTGTGTAGATTCAGGTAACCATTTGCAGGGTGTGTGTGTGGCTTCTTGTGAATTCTCCACAAGACAATTCTAGTAAATAGGGAGAACGTTCTAGTCCATTCAATGAGACAAACATGGCTATACCGATAAATATAACCACACAGCACTATTCAGGCTTAAGACCATAAGCAGCTTCTTGAAGGCTCTCAGGACTCCCATAGTGAGTTTATGCATAGATAGTCAAAATCCATCCATAGTTCTTAGCTAGGGCACAGTCAGTATAAGAGCAGTTTAACATCTGAAATAGGTACTAGTCCTGACAGCAAATTGATAGGGGGAGGGGCAATCTATTCTAGAGTCTTCTTCAGCCCAGTCATAGTAGATGCTCTGAAAAGGCACAATGTTGGAAAGAGTGCAGGAAACATAGCTGAAACTGCTGAGGCTTATTAAGCCTGAAGGAAATGTAGTCTAGCATCAAAGGCACCTGAGCTCTTGCTCTGGACAACAGGAGCTCTGGAAACCATGAGGCCCAGGGAGAGATGCTTCCAAGAGAAAATCCCAAGTGCATAGGGTCTTGTCCCAGCAATTTCTAGAGTTCAGTGTCCTTTACCTATCTGGCTGGGGAGATGCTAGTTAATCTTATCTTTAGCAATGTGGGGAGCATAGCAGAGTGCCTCCTTCTCATGATGCCTGGTTACCTTGAAAGTCCCATGATGAAGTCCAGTTTTAGCTTCTGTTTCAGCTAGATGTGCTTTGACTTCTAGAAGGATCCATTGTGATATGCAGAGGTGCTTCACCATAGATCCTGCCCGTATTGCTTCAAATAATACTGAAGCTGCTGCAACTCCACTCTACTTTGCAGAGCCCTTTTGCCATGAAACTTTTGTGAACAGTGATCATGTAAGCAGTAGTCCCCATCTGTCACGCTGGGTTAGCTCCCTGGAGTCTCTCAAGTTGAATATTGTCTTGCAATTCATTAGCAGAGCATGCATAAGTCCCTCACCTTCTGTTGAATCCTGAATGTCAGCACATCTTTTTCTGCAGCTAAAAAAACACTGTATGGATCCCACAAATGTTTCAAACTAACACAGCCTGTGTTAAAATTAATGGTTTTTAAAGGGGATCTTGCGGCAAACTAAGTCCATCTAGTCTCTCTGTCTCTTTCCTACAATCACTGAAGGAGCAAGTGGTAAATTAACTAAACATTTTATATGTTTATTCATTAATAAAAACATGACTTTAGCTTCTGAATTACTTTCTCTTCAGCCCAGAGGAATAATACAGTAACTGCAGTGGCCATCATGGCACATCAGCATTTTCATTAATGTTAGCTCTTAAATGCAGCTGGTGGTCATTGAAGCATATGGGGAAGTCTTCCCCGTACATAGTATAATTGAGTACCAATAGATAGAAACCATCACCTGGCACCAAAAGTGGAATCAGACAATGGTTTACTCCCCTTCCCCTGCCAGTTAAGATTTCCAAATCAGTTTGTCTGGGTTAAGGACTACTGGCTAATCCCAAAGTCTGAAAAGAACATGCTCAAAATACAGATTTTCCATCATCTTGGTAAACTTGATTATATTGGTAATCAAGTTCCCATTCTTTGGAATTCTTACTCAATTCATAATTAATATCAGTATGTCTATTTCAGACCGATAAGTGCAAGGATTGGGTTTTGGGTTTGTTTTTGTTTTTTTAGATATCCTGAAGTATGAGCGGGGGAGGGGACATTCTTTTAAAAGCACCAAGAGGTTATAATACGTTTTAATTTTTTTAAGCAAAATTAAATATTTGCACATATAATTATTTCTTTGGATGAGAGAAAAGCCTGTAAATGTTGTTGCACATGAGAGTCTTGTATCAAAAGCCTTTAAAGTTTGTAAATATTTTTCCTGAAGTCCTACATTCTCTGTGGTTTTTATGGACAATTTGCATGGGCATGGCATGCAAAATAGCCCTTGGTAAACTCTGTGACAAAGGAATGCTTAGAGTTATTTACATGGGAGAAGTGGGTGGGTTAAGCAGTTGCAACAGAAAGGATGAAGAGTCTTGTGAGACTTTAAAGATGAGCATTTTATTATGTCATACTGTGAGAACCCCTGGCTCCATGAATGGTGAGGCCAGGGTTCAAACTGTCCCGAGTAACCAATTTCAAAGTCTCCAGACTACTGGTGGAAACAGGAGTCAGGCTTATTAGTTGATGGCTTGGTGATACAGAGGCATAGATCATGCCACCCAAGTAAATTATCCTCTTACATGCTGCATTCCTAGCAGTAGCCTCTTAGGTAAAGTCCCTTTCAGTCTTTTCCCAAGTTAAGTTCACTGGGTAGAAGAGGATGCTTGGCTAAAAAATCCAAACAACTGGGGTGTTCCAGAACTCAATCTTTTAAGAACAAGCCCTGCATATTCTGGAACCCCTACACTTAACCTATAGTTAGCAAGTTGAATTTTTTTCATAAATTTCAAATTTTTGTGCAAAAAAACCACTTACAGCGGTGCCTCGCTTTACGATTGCCCTGTTTAACGATGAAACCGCATTACGATGAACTTTTTGCGATCGCAAAACGATGTTTCCTATGGGGGAATTTCGCTTTGCGATGATCGGTTCCCTGCTTCGGGAACCGATTCTTCGCAAAACGACAATTTTCCAACAGCTGATCGGCGGTTTCAAAATGGCCGCCGGGTAAACAAAATGGCCCCCTGCTGTTTTCTGGGATGGATTCCTCGCTGCACAGGCAGCGAAAATGGCCGCCCTATGGAGGATCTTCGCTGGACTGTGAGTTTACAGCCCTTTGGAACACATCAAATGGGATTTAATGCGTTTCAGTTGTTTTTTTCTTTTTGTATTACGACGTTTTCGTTCTACACCGATTTCGCTGGAACGAATTAATGTCGTAATGCGAGGCATCACTGTATGTGAATTTCTTACAAAAAAACTCCATTCTGAAATGAAGAGTGGGAAGGCACAGTATTACCATCATCTTACCCACCAGAGAGAAAACTTCAGAAATTATTTTCTTCCACCTACAAGAATGAAAAAAGTGAAGATTTACATCCTTAGTCAAGACTGACGCATGAGCAATTTTCTAGTATTGTATGCACATTTATCTCATTAATTGCAAAGACAGCTTTGTAAGGTAGCTGGTGACAGAGCCCTCTTTTTATATCAGGTTTGTCTTCATCCTGACTAACACCTCTTTGAGATAACAGGTTTTTGAGAATTTTCCATAGCCCTAGGAAAGAATTTGCCCATGAGACTTAACTCTGCTACATATCTTGTCAGTATTAACTCATGCACTTCCTGATCAGTATATTACTCTGAACATTTTGTATGATGAAGCACATTAACATAATTGCACTGCTTCATTGGCGTTATCCTGTGTTCCTCTCCCATTGCGATCTGTTCTGTATGTTCCTTTTGCTTCCTCATAGGATTTGTACCTGCTATAAGGTTTCAGGTTGTGCATGCATAATGATGAAACATAATCCAGTATCTGGATCTTGACAATAGCCTTTGTACTATCAAACAAACAATTTATACCACTTTCCTGCTGTGATAACTGTCATCCTGTAGTAGATTGATACATAATGTTAATTCATTCCTGTTCCATAATCCACTTATTAGAAGAGATCTGACAGCTTCTTCTGCCTCCATAGTCTAAGGAATTCCTATAGACTGATCTCTGCCAATCTGATTACTTAAGCTTATTTTCCAGGTCATTGGTTCATTTTCAAATAGACTGCCAGTTCATAGTACTTCTGCCTAAAACAGTGTTGTTCTGTCTTGACCATAATTTCAAGCTATCCATTTTTGTATTCATTCTTTCAAGACTGCTATGATGGAGCTTCTCTTTCATTCTTTCGCTCTCCTGTATGCAAATTTGACTTCTCCAAATGCTTTCCCACTCATTTCAAAGGGTGGTATGACTAGCTGGCCTCCATTCTTCAGAATTCAAAAGTGACCTGAACTTTCTTCACTGGGCTATTTGTAGAAATCAGATCAGCATTACTAATGACAATCATTGGCTTGTGAAAAGTAAGCCATGGCAGATCAATTTATTTAATAGTCAATTCAGTTCATAAGACACAGTTTTTTTTCAGGGGTTGATGAAGCCAGAATCCATCTAGGCCAGTATTTTGTTTCTGTCAACATTTAGCTGATGGATCTGAGATACTCCATGGAGGAACCATTCCCCGCTGCACTGTGTGGAAACCTGCAAGTTATTAGAGCCACCTAATGTTGTAGAGATGAAAATAGTTAGGTCTGATGAAATGCATCGCCTAATGTTTCAGAAAGGTGTAAAATATGCTGCTGTTTTTGATACCAGCCTTTTGTCTTTGTCTTTGCCCATTCCAGTGCTGGAAAACTGAACTTATCTGAAATGGCATTTAGCCTTTGAAGAGATATCTATTTGCTCACTATAGGCGGCAGCACCTTATTTCTGTCCCCCACCACTGGGAATGAGGTAATATGATATCTCCAAATGTAACGATGATATATTGAAATGAAATATTTTCACCTTAATAATGATAAAATCATAGCAGTAAAGAATTGTAAAAGGGAAAGTCACCTTAGGAGTCAATTAGTCCAACTTCTTGCCTAAGTCGAGTTCAGGGTTGGGGAACCTTTGGCACTCCAGGGATTTTGGACTACAACTCCTATAGTGTTCTTTGTCATTGACAGTACAGAATGGGGATTCTGGGAATTGCAGTCCAAAATGTTTTGAGATCCACAGGTTCACCGTCCCTGCACCTAGTCCAATCTGCTGCTAACTTATATGAAAAAATGAATTATTCACCATGAGAAAGCTGCTGCATTGCCCCTTAGGATGGTAATCTTTTGAGGTGCAGCAATGGTCACCTACTTACTACTGCTACTCCAGTCTGCATACTGCAGCTACTTTACTTTTCTTCTGTATAATAATGCCCTCCATTCAATTATCTGGTCATACACAGTGGTTCCCAAACTTGGGTCCCCAGATGTTCTTGGACTACAACTCCCAGAAATCCTGGCTGGCCCAGCTAGTGGTGTGTTAGTCCAAGAGCATCTGGTCACCCAAGGTTCGGAACCACTGCTTTAGCAATCACAAGAACATGGTTTTAATATGAAGTTGAATCTGCCCAATATTCTACCTAAGTTTGTGATAATCATAATTATCGATCTTTCCAGAAGTAAATTTAGGCCAATGATGGTAGATGGCTATGTTTTTGATCAGGCAAACTGCTCTGTTTGCCCATTTTACAGAGCAGATCTCATCACATTCTAGGCATCTCTCACATAAAAATAAGAAGACGGACTTAATAAAAACAAATGTGAAGACAAGTGACCTTGTACTATGTAAGGCACATTGCTTTGGCAGTGCTTTCAGGTTGGTTTTTAAACAATAGGCTTCTGTTCTGAGAATGTGCATGTTGAATTTTCCTGGATATTTCTTTAAATGTTAAATAATTGCTGCTCAAAGAGAAGTTGATCATTTTCTTGGAGGTTTCTCCAAGTTCTCAAGGCTCAGGCCTTCAGAAAAAGTCAGGCTTCCCCACCCTTTCCTTTCTGATATGGATATAAATCGAAGTCTGAGAAGAATTCCTTGCTTCCCCATTCAGCCACTGCAGTCTTTCACCCTCTCATATCTTTACATTTACAGTGGGACTCAGAGCAATGACAGTGTTCCAGTCATAATAAAAGAAGAAATGCAGAGTAAGGACAATCCAGAAGAGGCGATACCTTTATTTAGATGACTAAAAATGAACCATTCAATGTAAGCTTTCATAAATAAAATTCACTTTGTCAGACATTGGGTAGAAAAATTATGAATGAAGGTCTCAGGATGTTAATGGCAGAAATCTGCCAGGGCATGCTACTTAAACTGAATTGAGAGCTGGTTTGGGGCCGAGTGTTTTTAGATGCCTCACCCCTGATGCCATTTGGTTGAAATTTTGAACTTAGCCACCAGGGTAGGAGTTATTCCCTGAATGAGCCCCCTTCCCACCTCCAACTCATATTGACTGTTTAGAAATCAGGTTTCCTTTTTGCCTGGGGCACAAGAAGAAGAAAGGCCACGCAGAGACTTTAGCCATCCTCATCCTAAAGCTGGGATCTTTTCCTTACCTTCCACAGATTATTTCTGGCACTAAGCCCAGTGTATTTCTGAGTCAGTCTGAGTCAGGCTGGGATGTATACTGCCCAGGTAGTCCAATATGTATTGGTTCAGTTGAAAGGATATTTTCCCATCCCAGTCATAATGATTTGATCCTGGCTTGCAGTCTTGGTTGTTATAAAGCACTCAGTTTCCCGTTTTGAGCATCTTAGGATGATGAACTACGAACCCCACAATTAGGCTTGGCTTGCAAGGGAAAGGTGAGAGGGGAGGAGGCAATGTATAGATGTGGTCTGAACTATTTCAGGATTCTGTCCAGGAGAAGCGCCTGCCAGTTTAGTTATCTCTGTTTTGCAGATGGTATGACTCAGGTTGAGAGAACAATGGCATGCCTGAGGCTGTCTGACGAATTCAAAGTGAAGTGAAATTTGAATCTGAAAATCCCTGAAGGTGTCTGAAAAGTGTGACCCAAAGAAGTCATACTTGGCAGTTCTAGGCAGTTCTTATTACTGGAATATAAACTAAGGATAAAGATGCACATTATTTTTCTATAAAAATGCTTCTTGGATTAACTAAAGGAACAAAATTCTTATGCAAAATATTTTATACATAGACTGTATATTTGAATTTGACATTGGCCCCAAACTTCTATGAGACATAAGAGAACTACAGTGGTGCCTCCACTTACTAACTTAATCCATCCCAGAAGATGTTTGCAAGTCGAAATGTTCTTAAATCAAATCAGGATTTCCCATTGAAATGCACTGAAACCCGAATAATCCGTTCTGGCTGATTTTTGTTTGTATCTAGAGGCGCCGGTTGTAAGTTGAAAACTGGTTAATCTGTCCTCTGCCACTAGGGAGAGGATTTTTTTAAAAACCCTAAGATGACTTACCATATGTGCCGGCGTACAAGGCGACCGGCCGTATAAGATGACCCCCTCAACAGGAAGAGCCTGGGGAGGCGGAGGCAGGAGGAGGAGGAGGAGGAGGGGACGCGGGGGGTGGCAGGCGAGTGAGCGCGCTGGCTCAGCGGCGCAGGGCAGCAGGCAGCCCGGCGGCGGGCTCTGGCAGCTCAGGCATGGCAGGCTGTGCTTCCCTCCCTCCATCCAGACCAACTGCCTGCCTGCCTTCCTCCCCGGCCAGCATGGCCCCGTGTCACTCACTCAACAGCAGCGGCAGCAGCTCCTTCCTGGCTCAAATGAAGTGCACCCCACGTACAAGACGACCCCCCCACTTGGAGGCATGTTTTTTGGGCCCAAAAAGTCATCTTGTATGCCAGCATATACAGTAGGTTTTTAAAAAGGGCAGGAAAGGAGGGAGGGAGGGAACAATGGGGAAAAGAGGAAAGAAAGAAAGAAAGAAAGAAGGTCATCACTGGGGCACACAGACCCCTCAGACAAAGGTTTGTGCTTTTAAGCACAAAAAGAAAGAAGACACACAGAGAGAAGACAAAGGGGGGGGGAGAGTTTGGAGTTGAAAACACATTTTAAACCCACATATTTTACACCAACACACTGTAAACCAAACAAGCACCTTTTAAACCCACCCACCAACACCTTTTAAAACAAAAGGGAGGTTCAGCACACCACAGTACACAAACCCTAGGAGCCACAGAATCCAGCAACCATTATTCCAGCAAACAGACCCCCTCAGCAAGGGGGGGAAGCATAGAGAGAGAAGACACGGGGGGGGGAGGAGACGATGGGTCTTGTGGGGTTTGTTTGCTTTTTGCTTTGCTTTTTTTCCATTTCTGATGGGTCTTGCATGGTTTGTTTGATTTCTGCTTTGCTTTTTTTGCATTTCTGATGGGTCTTGCACGGTTTGTTTGCTTTTCTTTCTTTTTCCCCACTTTGGCCGGAAGGGATTAATCACGTTTCTGATGGGTCTGGCAGTGTTTTTTTTCCCCTTGGTGATTTCTTTTTCTTCGTCTGGAACAGTGCACACCTATAGAAATGGTGCTTCAACTTATGACAATTTTGAGTTACAATCAGAGTTCCGGAACCAATTAAATTCGTAAGTCGAGGCACCACTGTATATTATACCTGCCCATGGTAGAACATTTTCTACAATATGCATGAATCTCTTCACTCAAGCAATGTTTCACTCAGATTTGCATATCCACCAGACTCTCACAGATGAAAATAGGAAAATCCTTGTGTATTTAGAAGATCCCATTAGGGATTGTTCTGCTCAGGCCTCCCTACTACCATTACTACATATTGCTTCACTGTAGAATACATTTATCTACCTGCTCTGGGCACAGTATTCCTTGGACTGGATCATATTTAAATCAGTGAGATTTTGCCCTAATATTTGTTGGAAACAGGTATATTAATAATTTTTAATATTTTTACTGCATTATTTAGCAATGTTCCTAACCTTGGGTCCCCAGATGTTCTTGGACTAAAACTCCCCATATACCTTCACCACTAGCTTTATTGGCCAGAATTTCTGAGAGTCGTTGGCCAAGAACATCTGGGGACCCACGTTTGGAAACCGCTGCTCTAAAAGTTGAAGCACACATCGTATTACTCATGCTTTTCAGAGTTTAATCTAATCTGATCATTTTAAGGGAAAAGCAAGTATGGGATCCAAAATTCAAAACATGTTGTCAGTCCATATAACATTCCTGTGCCAATTTACTGATAATATAATTTTTCTTCCTCAGTTGCTGTGTTCTCCCCAGAGGTGCTGTTTGCCTTTTTTTTAGAAGGATACATATTGTAAAGCATGGTTTGGCCATAAAGCTTTTCAAGTTGGTACATAAGCATGTTTAATCTTTTCCTTCAAGTGCAAAAATGAGAGTGATTTAAAAGGGACAGCTGCCTGAACCATGAGGACTGTTGGGATGAATGGGACCATAGCCCAGCATTGGTTCCTTTTGATTTTGACTTTCACAGTAAAAAGACTTACGTGGCTATTCTTCTGAATGTTGACAACTGGGATGATTCCTTTCTACTGGATACTGCATAAAAGGGACATTTTGTAGTTCTAAGTGGCCCGTACACAACCCTTGTCTTTTCTACTTTCCTTCGTACCTTTTGGGTCTCTAACATCAATAGATACTCATAACTTACTAGGATCCATTTCCTGCATTGCTCCTAAATTGCAGCTATGTTCTACTAGAAACTAAATGCCACATTGCACTGGACCTTTTTCACCACCTGCAAAATTCCACCCCACTCCGATTAAATCTTCTATACCAGGTTCATGTCTCAGTGACTTACAGTCAAGACAGTTTTTTGTGGAAATGTCCAATTTTGTTTTAAAAACTACAAATACAAAAACATTGCTTAACGCAGCCATGCCAGGGGCCCTTTCATGACATGAACTTCATCTTTTGTTGTAAATAAGATCTGAATAACAACAGGGAATGCCCAGAGAGGCAGCACTACCTAGTATCTGAACTCAGTAACACTGAGGTTATTGATAAGAATTTCTGTAATAATTGCGGTCTCTGCAGTAGGTGAACATGACTACATATCATTGAGAAATTCTGTGCTTGATATTAAAAGGCCACATTTAGATCCCAGAGCTCTGAGACATAGCTTTTAGGCAGGGCTCCCTGTGCAGAGGATGGCTTTGAATCTTGTTTCTAGGAAAACCATATTTCTATCAATTATTACATTAAAAGAACATACTCTTTGCTCAATATGTAGTGGTACAGAAACGATGGGTAGAGAAACCCATGTATGTCTTAGTCCCACAGCCTACAGTAACCCTAATGATGCACTTGAAATATCAGCCTTAACCTGGCGCTCTCCCAATGCTTGGGATTACAACTCCTATCATTCTCAACCTGCAGTGAGGGGTGAGGGTGATGGGAATGTGATCCAGTGTACAGAGCCGTAGCTTCTGCATTGGATTATTGGAGTGTTAGCTTTGACCAATAATAAACAAATAATAAATAATTAATCATCATCATATATCATTAATTCAATTCTGACTCATGGTGACTCTTTTTAGATTTTCTAGACAGGGAGTAGTGAGAAGTGGTTTACACTCCCTTCTTCTGAGGGCACCCTGGGACTGAGCAGCTTGCCCAAGGCTACACAGGCTGGCTCTTCTAGGATGCACAGTGGGGAATCAAACTCCCAACCTCTGGTTCTACCTAAATCACTGAGCTATCCAGCCAGCTTTGACCTGGGATACTGAAAAAATATAGGGTTCAGAAAATGTACTGGTTGAAAAGTGTAATGTTACTCATTGGCATACACTCCAGCCATGTACACCTCTTCCTCCTGCAGAATCAAGATGCCCATTGCCCACTCAGAACCATGCCTTTAAAACATTGAGCCATTCTGGCTTAGGGGTCTGGAAACTCTAGTGGAAAAAGTAACAGTTCCAGTCTCTTGTCAGATACATGAATTTGATTGCTTTCAGGCGGTGTATGAAGGGAAAGGGATTCCAATAGTTGTTTGCACATTATTTTGAAAGATACTGTGCTTATGAGCTTGGAAATTCTTTTTTGTTATTGATAACAAATATTGATAGATGAATGCATGTATGATAGTACTTTTCTGAGCACCCTTTGTAGTAAGGATAGTACACCTTGGTAGAAAAAGTCATTGCAAAAATGCATTGTTAACACAACATCAAAAAAAGGCAACATAACCTAAAATTACATTAACTCTGGCAGTAGAGAAGATATAAATTAGA